ACAGCACCTAAAAAACGCACTTCAACACCCTTAACAATCTAAAAACCATAAATAAACTAGCAGCATGGATGCATAAAGACTTAGTACGGAACATACAGGAATAGTTTACCCTTAGAAATAGGACGTGTCACTTTATTGTAACCTTCAAACGCTTGCTATATAAACTGTTTTATCCCAAAGTCTATCCCTACCAGAACTCATTACTTACTTCTAAAACGCATCAGTCATTAGAACACTAAAACGCTCAGACTCATTAATACACATCATGACACTAAATAGACTCTAAGACTTCGCATAAATACGTAAAAAGAACTATAACTAAAAATAATTTCTTAATAATTTATTATACAATTGACATAAACAATTATATATATACATTAATGTCCTTTTAATGTTCACATACTTTCTCTTTTTGGTACTCTGATACTCCTATTCATCTTCTGGTCGAGGTCGAACAACCCTGCATCTAAACTGAAATGAGGATTAATTCCAAACCATCTACCTCATAACCACCCAAATTCCATGAACGATCCAATTCTACCATTTGAAGACGCTGGCGAACATGCTGTAAATGAGTATTCATGATCTGAAATGAAGAAGCAACTGGTTTTCAAACAGTTTTCAACATTTTTCTGAACTTACGAATGCAGTCCGCCATGCAGACACAAATGGAGCAAATGGAGAATTCTGGAATCGACCTCGACACCATTTGATGCAGTAAAACAACTTAACATGACCTTATCTAGTTTTCGCATCCACGATCAAATTTCTTTCCTGTTATAAAACTACGATAAGACTGCTGAAAAAATGGAATAAATATATCACTGATCTCAACATAATACATCAATAAACTTTGAGCCGAGGGTGCTGTTCACAACAAAGTTATGTAAGAGGATTGACTTCAAGCTTTTTTTCCCAGATATCCGTATTACATTCATCTGATGTCTGGGTTTTTTTTAATGCGAAGACAATATTTCTATATCTCTTTATGTGCTACACAAACAGACTTTATAGCAGACTGTTCCGTCTGACTCTAATGTCAGAAAGAACAACCAAACTGTAAATTCATCATACATCAATTTGTGTAATTTATATAATAACTTATCCATGCCTGTACAATTGGTATGTTCCTGCATAAACAGGAAGAAATATATTATTTTTTTATTTCCTTATTTGTACAATTCATTTTGAATGTTTCTCTTACATTTACCAGTATTCAACTTATTTCTAAATTAACAAATCATATTATATATTCTATAAGTTTTCATAAGTGTACATATGTTCATGTCTGTAAAAATGGCTGGTTTCTGTTAAAGAAATAAAAATTATTATTAAATCATTATTATTGTTCTTGCATGAATAAAAGCATTTCTAGTTTCAAGTTACTAATTGAATGCTATTGTCTTTGGTGTAAATTACTCTGTGCCTGCGCTTGGTTGACCAGATACGTCGCGTGTTTGTTCGTCATCTATATTCTACGATACAATGATATGAGTGTGTTACCGTTCAGATATAGCTGATAGAGGGAAATCAGCAAATGAACTCTGCAACGATTTTCCAACCTAGAGCGTCAACCTGAGAAGGGTTGTAGGCGTACTGCTGTAAGTCCTACAGTTCTTCAAAGGGTAGCCCATCAATGAGCAGTCCAATGTGCTTGGTGTGTGATTTTGTACATATGTTCATGTTGTATATACTGAATTGTTATCATCTGTCATCTACCTGTTGGTAATTTTGTTTGTGTCCGGACATCTCCCACTTGGATCATCAACCTGAGAAGGAATGTAGGCGTACTGCTGTAAGTCCTACAGTTCTTCAAGGGTAGTTTGTCGTACCAGAATCCACCATTTTGATGTGTTGATTGTACATATGTTTGTGTTAAATAATTGTGTGAGTTCCAATTATTGTAATTGTTGGTTAATCTCATTTGTGTCCGGACATTCCACAACTTACAATCATCAACCTGAGAAGGTTTGCAGGCGTACTGGTGTAAGTCCTGCGATTCTTCAAAGGAATTACATCGAGACACGATTGGTGAGGTTATTTGTACTGTTTGTATATACGTGTGGTGTGTCTTCTCCATTTGTGATTTTGAATTAATTGTTTTTACTCGTTGTTTTCGTACCCTGTTGTTATTACATAATTTTGTTAAAATTTTCGTCGTGATTACTTCTGAAGTTGTTTCTAGTCTTCTACGTCCGTGAATGAATTGATTGATGTCAGAGACAGCAGATGGGTCGTATACGCCGGGGAGGCTAGGCTATTGCTGAGAATGAACTGCATACGGAGATAATTGTTAGCTGTGGTCCGACACGACAGGGAGAAAGGGTGTAAACGACTGAGGCTCGCATACGTCACCGTTACTAGAACTGAGACAGAATGAGTGACAAGCGATTTCAGTGGTAATTGGTAGTGAGTAGATAAGAGGATGGGCGTAGAGTATCATGAGGTGGTGCTATGGTCACGTTGCATTCTGCAAGAGTCATTCTAGCAAGTGGTGGTTGTGTTGCAAGATGTCAAGAAAATACCTTTATCTGAGGGCGCAGGTCGTCATTGATGTGTGAGATTGTGCTGTGAGTATACTTGTGGTGTGTTGGCTTTCCTGTTTGTTTTCCATTTCAGCTCTGTCCGTGTGACCCAGGTTCTCGCAATGGCATCCAAGTCAACGTGTATTGGTCATGATGGAATAAAGGGATGGATCCGTTTTTTGCCGGGGAGTGTCTATGTAGTTGAAGATTGAACGATCAATTCTTGGTTGTTTGCTCAAAACCAACTTCCTCAATTTTCGTGGAGGCATCAATACACCAGTCATCGTCTCATCGGTCGCTGTTCAGAAAGAAGTCAGACCAAAACTGTCAGAAGTAATATTGTGATTCATTATTGTAATATTTGTTCATAGACCTTAGTTAAAACTTAATTGTAAAGCTGCCTATATGTTGGTGTTACAATAAAGAATTCTCGAGTAGCCAATCGGTGTTTTGGTTTTGCGTCCGTTATTACTAAGCGTTTCTGAGAAACGTCAAGGAACAGCGTGAGTCCCAGTGTAGCAAGAGCTGGGCGTCGATGGTTTACGAGATGTGGCTTACAGTGTATTTGTTCAAAGTGATCCTCACTTTTTGTTGCAGTGTTCATGTGTTTGTATGTATTTAACCTTAAAGAAACTGTGAAAATAACATTTGTGAAATATTCAACTGACATATCCCATTAAAATTTATAAATTTACTCAGTATCATTTTTTCGCCGTTACTGCTTGTTTTAAATTCACTATGGGGAGGAAATGCTTTCAATTGTAGAATTGTAGATTAGTTGATCAGCGTCATTCTAACTTCTAAAAGATTGCCGTTGGCTATTGAACACTGGAACCTAAATATCTCCATGCACACACCAACACCTAGCCAGAATTTACATAGACTGGTAGAAATTTCGAACCACTAAAGTTAAAGCTAGCTATTTAGGCTGACTGAGAATGCTGATTTGGATATTATTCTTACATTAAGATAAGAAAATGAATAGTTAGCTTCTTAAACGTTTATGAAACTGACAGTGTTTTGAAGTTGAATTTACTAGTGGATCTTAAACAGAGACTTAAAGATGATTTCACACTCAAAAAATAATTGTTCTCTATGAAAAAATGTACTTTAATAATACAGTTGTTATCATCAGCAGCAAGCACAGTGAAATTGATGTGTGTGCAAACGAAGCATTGTGGATACCATAACCTTTTCTGACATTTGTTATTTGCGTTGACATAGCCAACGAAAGTCACGGGAGATCTTTATTCCCTACTATGATGTTCATCACACAGGTTTCTGACACCTGCGGCTGTATATGGACCCAAAAACAACAGGCAGACTCAGTACTTTTTTAGATGGCGTTACCGAAAACTCACAAAAGAGCTGAACACCAGGGAGTTATTGGAGTAACAATATTGCATTTACTGCAGAGGAGGGCTGCTTTAAGGTGGACGAAATCATCACAAGCGACACGACTAATGGACCTTGGCAAAGTGGGATTATCATTTTTCATTTCTCACAGACACTAATTCAACAAAGCACTTTGAATTGACTCGTGTCCGCATCAATGTGCAGAGCAACAGTCTCAGATTGATTCCTTGGGATCGAGCTGAATGTAGAGTTAGTTTCCACGCACTTTATTCTCCTTACCAAAATAATCTCTCTTGTACTGGGAAGATTACTCAATCCAAGGATTTAGTGAAGATTCAGTATCCAATATATTTTAACAGCTTAAATAAATCGAAAAGGGGATGAAAAACTAACCAGAAAAAAATTTACCTCCTCGGTAGGCTAACGTAATTGATTGATTAATAGATTACCAACCTCCCTTAATGTTGACAATTATATGATACGGAACCCGAAAGGGAAGCAGCGAGTGGGACGTCCAAGGGTGACATGGAGGAGATCTTGTGAAAAGGAGTTGAAACGGTGTAGACTAACATGGATCCAAGTGAAAAGTACAGCAGAAGACAGAAGCAAGTGCAGACGTGCTGTTGAAGCCCTATGTTCCCCTAGGAACCCAAGGGAACAATAATAATATTAATGATTAATTTTATTACAAATATAGTTGCCGAATATGAACTCATGATTAATTCATAAAAGTAGGTACTTAAGGTGAAGATTTTGGCACTTTGTAGATGTCTTGCCGAAATGAAGGCACCGAATCTGCTCAGATGGAAACTTAATGCGACATATGATTTTTCTGGGTGCATATGAATCTTATAGGCCAGTGTTGTACCTCAAACAAATAACTGAATGCGAAAAGCAAGATGCCCATTTCAAAAGACGCAGAGTCGAATTTACAATATTTTACTTGAAACACAATTTCTATTGAATTTTGTTTTAATCATCCAGAAAGCTTATAAAAGGTCTCTTGCTACAAGTGGACCCATTGATATTTGGTCTCATTCTAGTTTTTTCCCAAACATGGGCCAAGCTGACATTGGTATGATTGGTTTAGCGGTGATGGGCCAGAATCTCGTGCTCAACATGAATGACCATGGATTCACAGTATCTGAAGCTACCTCTTATTTATTGAAAATAATCTAGGTCTCAGTTTTCAACCGCACAGTATCAAAAGTGACTGAGTTCCTTGAAAATGAAGCTAAAGGAACAAAAGTAATAGGAACAAAGTCACTGGAAGAATTTGTTCAAAGCTTGAAGCGTCCGAGAAAGGCAATGATGCTTGTTAAAGCCGGTCAGGCAGTTGATGATTTTATTTCCAAACTGGTACGTGCTTGTGTTACTTTTCGGCTTGTACCTTTTTAAATATAAATTTTTTTGATGTTTTGTAATTTTGCCAGGCCCTGGCTGGAACTTATCTACTGTTTTATATAACTGATTTAGCGTATACATACGTACTATTCAATTGAAGTAAAGTGCGTTTCAGTTGGTAATTTAGACCTTAAATTCTTCAATTCATCGAAAATAATAAGGTTTTATATTTCTGTTCACCTTTTACAGACTGAACTGTGTTAGTTGGCTTATTCATATGATATCGTGACGCTTTTCGAGTGTAGTTATAACTACTGTAGCAGCATACGTTAACACTCGTGGTTGTATGTAGTCAGTTGTTCCAATGATGTGTTATCGCTTTTCAACTCGATATACTGCAGTCATACAGGATACTTGTCAGTCAGTCTTTTCGTGGTTTAAATTTCGTGTATTTCTGCAAAATGTAATGACAAGCCGTTATACACACAGCCGAAGTTTATTTTTTTTTATTTGAATATTATGGATGTGAAGCACTATATAACAGAGCTTTCTGCATACAAACGATATTTAGTGCGTACCTATCGCTTCTTAAAACAACTGCATTTATAACCCCAACAGAATATCCCTTCCATAATAAAATACTTTATTTTGTGTGACTGCTAAAACCATGTCTTCTGTTTATCGTCTTTCCTTTCTTACGTGTTGACGATAATCCAGTGGTATGATTGAAGTCGAGTTACGTAATGCAGGGTAACCTGTTGGTAGGTCGAACTTGTTTCCTGTTTCACGGGTTCTATAGTTCTACTGAGCTCGTTTTCGCTACTGTATGAAAAGAATTTCAATTTTTGATGCATACCTTCAAACTGAAGAACAATTTCTTAGTTAGATTGCTACCTGTTCGTCTTTTGCAGGTGCCTTTACTTGAAAAGGTGATATTATAATCGATGGAGGCAATTCAGAATATACGGATACTGATAGACGTTGTTCGGAACTAGCAAAGTTGGGGATTCTGTATGTTGGTACAGGTGTCAGTGGTGGAGAAGAGGGTGCACGAAACGGACCAAGTCTTATGCCTGGCGGTAATCCCGAGGCTTGGTAAGTCTATATAAAAAATGGGTTGATTGGCACCAATTTGTCGCTGTCTAACAGTTAACACATCGTTATAGTTTGTGGTTGTGGAAAGTCAATAGACGACCCGTATTTCTTTTAAAGTATCTGATTAATCGTTTTCCTTTATCTGCGTCACATTGAATCAAAGCTAGATAAATTCCTTATAGTTCCTAGTCAAGAACGAGGAACTGAGGAGTTTTTTGACGCTCACCAGAATGTTTTTTAGCACGATAGCATAACTCATCCCTCAGTAACGTAGGGTCACTTCTAGCTATGACAGCAGCAGTAAAGTACAATTAACACAACAGAAATCTAGTAAGGCGTCCGAGTCTAACTGTCTTTATCCTGCCTGATAATTGGTCTTCGTTAATGAAAATATGGATCTTTGATCTACCATTGAAGGCTAACTAAAATGGTGACCATGTAAAGTTCTGCTACTGTTTGGAATATTGAATACACCCGTAGAATTATGTTAGATTAGTTCTCATTCACCCCCTAACGTATTCTGTTCTTTTTGTATGTAAATAGGTTCTTATCATAAGTAAAATTTCATTCATTAATCTTTTTGTCTTTAGTAACATTTTGGTATTGCCACTTACCTTTACGATTTCTGCCCTTTAGGCCACATATCAAGCCAATATTCCAGGCTATTGCAGCCAAAGCCAAGTGTGGAGAGCCTTGTTGTGATTGGGTAAGTTAATCTTATTTGGTCATGGCTACCATACATTAAAGTTACTGTCATGTTTAAGTTGCAATTGTGAAGCACCAAAATGGTATTTGCATAAATTTCTAAAATTAGGTTGAATAAACGTTAGTAAACATTACCTATTCCAAGGGTTAAATTAGTCACGATTTAATTATGTAGAGGTATGCCTATCAATCAAAAACCCGTATATAGAACTCAGTTGTGCGTAGTGTTGATTCCAGTTATCTTAAATGAAATGTTCAGTTACACCATAAAATTAAGGTATGCATTTGTTCAATATGTCGTGTTGGTTTTATCTGCTTTTTTCTAGACAGGACCGGGTGGTGCTGGGCATTTTGTCAAAATGGTTCATAATGGTATTGAATATGGTGATATGCAGCTAACAGCAGAGGCCTACCATTTGATGCGTACTTTAGGTCATTTTTCAAACGATGAAATATCCAAAGTGAGCTTTTTTTATTTGTTTCATTTTTCTTGTGCGTGATTTTCTTAGTCATATTTGGGCCTAACAACAAAGTGAAGAACTACTTTTTGTCTATCTGGAGATTTTCATTTCAGTTTTGCCTGAATCCCATCGAAGATCCATACTTCAGCTCACTCACCCCATATTCATCATTTTAAATACTTCAGATATATGTACTAGGCTAATAAACGAAGTGCTTTCGTGGAGTCTTCTGTTTTCAGTTCCCATTTTCGCTATTCCTAATGACTAATGCTTAATTTTTATTTTACTAAACTACTAAAACTAGAATGAGTGGTTTAAGATGTCATTTGTGTATAGATTTGTGAATATTTTTATGCTGAGTGTCTTGAAATTCTAAAGTTCTCACTCTAAGTAACTTAACTAATAATACTAGTTTTCAAAGCAATAGAGGCTTGCCACCTTACCTTTATTTACCTTTTTAGCTTTTTCTAGTATACGCTGTGTTTAATCATGTATAAATTTTCAATCTGAAAAATGTTTTTCTCACTAAGTTCTACAATTTCGAAACAGCGACCAGCTGACATATTCTGAAACCGACTACCTACACGTAAATAACTAATCAAGCTCACTATATCAGGCATTTGGCTTGTAGTTAAAGGTTCACGGTTATGAATTTTGTTCCAATTACAAAAGTGTGATTAGACAGGCAATTAATGTTATCATCCCACACAGAGTAGGTATAGCTCATTATTAATCTCGTGGACTTTTGCTTCTTTAGTTGATTATGATTTTACTTTTATCTTCAGCTGGTTTCAATCGATTTTGTAGAATGCACTACAAAATGTACTTTGTGTCCTATAGTGTGTGTGTGCGTGTATAGGTTACAGACCTCTTAGAAATGAAATACTTCTGCATTTTGAGGACTACTTTTCCTCCCCCATTTGTGTGGGAAAATAAATGTTTTTAATACGGGTACGATTCATTGTTACAAAAAAGAGATCCCCATTTGTGTAACTAACTATTCATTCAATTATCCTACCTATCTCTGCAGGATTATCAGGCTTCCATTAGGCCTTGCATTCCAGGTGTTGTAGTTGCAGTCTGTTATTAAATTTATGTGCACCAAATTGCTGGTATTTTGTATTCATTCCACTTCTTGCTGGCTGTTCAACTCATCAGGTTGATAAATACTGTTGAACAGGTTATGCAGATCTCTTGTGGAAAAATATTATATATATATATATATATATATATATATATATATATATAACTAGAAGTTTGAGAAAACCAAAGGACTGAAGAAATAAGACGTATCCCAAATTGTTACTTGTTGTTCACAAGTCTGTCTGTCCGTTTTCGACAGAACTTTGCACATATGTGCAGCAGTTCAAGTCGCCACACTCCATGTGGCACACAAAGCAAGAGGAGAAAGTAGAAGAAATGCATAATAGGGACAGTAAACAAAGGTGTGAGACAAAGGAATAGCAATAACGAAGAACAAAACAGTTCCATTGTAAATCATAAGTCACAAGGAGTCGATACAAATGCACCAACCATTGAGAACGATTTTGAGCCATGTCACCAATTACTTCCAACCATTGGCTTTTACTGTCCCGAGGACCCCAACCACGAAGTCTACACCTTCCTACGTGGCTTGGACTAACTGTTGTAGATTTCATTGACTGATGAGGCCATATTTTTGTTTGACCGCCGCTAGCTCTTTTCCAGCCTGACCATATATCAGCTAACATTGCCCATTGTCGAGGAAGGCGATGACTAGGCATATGTAACACATGTCCTTACCATCTCAGTCGATGTAATTTTACAACCTCGTCGATTGATTTCTCCTCCTTACCTAGCACTCGACGGAGGTCTAACCTCAATATTGCTCACCTTATTATACCACTTCACACGGGAAATAGAGCGCAGGCACCTATGGTCAAAGACAGCTAATCTCTTCATATCTCCCACTCTCAATGGCCAGGTCTCACAGCCATAAAGGAGGACGGAGTGGATTGATGAGCAGTACATCCGCCCTTTGGTCGATAGTCGGATATCACGTCTACGCCAGAGACGGCGTAAACTGGCATATGCGAAACTAGCCCTCTGTATCCATGCTGAGATTTCGTCAGAGATCAACCCGTTGGGGCTGATGGTACTTCCCAAATAAGTGAAGCGATCAACGTGCTCTACCACTTCACTTCCTATTTCTAATCTAGGAGTCGGTGTAGTCCAGTCCTGTAACATCATCTTGCATTTGGCGGGAGCGAATCGCATGCCAAACATTCGTAGATTTCAGCTCAAGGTGTTCAGAAGACTACTGGATTTTCTCAGCGTCCTCGCCTAGAAGGACTATATCGTCTGCATATTCTAATTCAATGATTTTATTCCCTGATAGCAAGTCAATCCCTGAGTTAGGGTTAAGTCCATTAGTACATCTATGATGAAGTTGAATAGAAATAGGGATAATGGGCATCCTTGACGGACACCACTAGTCGTCACATTAGTTGTCCACAAGACTGCTTCTTGTCAAAATCTTCACTGAAAATAACTTGAGCTGCACATTCCAATCCGAATAACAAATCTACCAGGTTTTAGTAGATAGGAAATATCTGGTTGATATATCCAGATGTAACACCTAGACTTGATTGTCTTTATGCATTATTGTTGCTGAATTCAAGCCAAACGTTTTATAATTGTGAACCCTATAATTTTAGGAACCGTATCGACTAACACTTCTGTGGTTGTCATAGGACTGCAATCCTTGAACATTGTGTCAGTTTGTGATTCAGATGAGTCAGGAAGTATCTGACTGTTACTTCATTTAAAATCTCAAATAATCCATCTAGTAGTATTGACCCACCTTCCTCAAATGTCTGTAGTAATATCTCAGAAATCCAACTGCTTGCTGTTATTTCAAATTACCCACAACTTTGTAAACGTTTTGAGATGTTGGTGTGTATATATTGATGCCACAAGCAAACTGTGAGTGGTAAACAGCTGAGTAAGAGAAGTCATATGAACTGTTCCTCAAATCGTCCTGTGTGTCGTCGACATTATCCCATTTTGTAAGACCTTTATATTGTTACTCACGCTTGATATATTAATGTCCCTCTTTTATCACTCGATGCTTAGAAGAGATTTGTCTAACGACACTGATTGCTTAAGGTAGAAAGGATGATTTAATTTCCCTAACTTCAATGCAGTTACTATTATAAATTTTTCCATAGACGCTTGGTTATTAGGCAGTACTTAGTTGCTTCCGTCGTCGATTTTTATTACTCGACCCTTCAGGTTTGGCAGAGATTCAGAAGAAAAAGTGTCCTAGACGGTATATCTGTGGTGAATAATTTTGATTGACTGCTTGGCCGACGTTGCAGCTGTAATCAGTACTGTTTGTGTAACCGAATTGTTGTTCACTGTGTCCAGATATTTTTGTTTATTTTGAAAGTTATCCTTTATTTTTAACATCTCCGACATCCTTATAAATTTTATGTGTTTTCTTCTTCCCTACTTTGAAAATTAGGCTTTCAAAAAATGGAATGAAGGTCCATTGGAATCTTACCTTATAGAAATAACTGGAAATATATTAGCATACAAAGAGTCGGATGGTACACACTTAATTGATAAAATAATGGATACTGCCGGACAGGTAAGTGATAGTTGTTTTGCCTTGACTATTTTTTGCATAACCTACTGTTTTGTTTTTAAAGTGAGTTTGAAGGTCTGAGTTAATTATGTCCTACTGTTTGGCTATCTTATCAATGTTTCGTTTTTGAGTGAAAAACACAGTGATAGAATTGATTGTTCTCATGAGCCAAACTTCTTTGAGATCGCTGTGCTTCCATGACTGGTTTCAACGTAGAACTCTGTACAGATGTGCAACAGATCCAGCTGCCACACTCATGTACCACACAAAACAAGAAAAGAGATAGTAGACAGATACATGAGGCAAAAAGAATAGTAATATGGAACAACAATAGAGTTTTATTGGGTACTATAAATCACAAAGTGAATACATCTTCTTTGTGATTGAGAGCAATTTTTAGTCATATCACCAATTGTCTCTAGCCGTCATTGGTTTTTAGCATCCCGAGAACCCCAACCGTTCAGGAAGTCTACATCTTCCTACATCGGTGGCTTAAACTAACTTGTGGATTTCATTGATTGATGAGGCCATGTTTTGGTTTGACCACCACTAACTCTTTTCCAAAACCAAATTTGTTTTACGCCTTCATATTCACTAAGCTTCATTTTACACCCCTTAATTGGTAAACTTCAACTAGCACTGAAGTATACGAACTAACGTTGACTGATAAAAATAATACAGTATTCAAAAGTGTTCCCTGTAATGCATTAGCAATACAACTAATCTAAGTTTATCTGAATATATTATTCGGTATAACTTTCATCAGGGTGACAAGTAACTTTCCCTACTAAGTGTTGTCTAGAGAAAACATCTATCATAGGCCTCTGCTGATTGATCTTCTTCAAGCTTCAAAAGTTGTCATGAATACAAACACTGTATATTTTCCAATATATATTTCGTTTAATCAGTCTTATTCAGCACTACATTGAATTATATGAAAATAACGAGTATAGGTTTAAAAAATAGAACTACTCATAGGATCAACAGTAATTTGTCAAAAAACATTACTCGTTACCCGGACTGATAGAATTCAGTCTGCACCAAAGAAAGGACTAGACACATCACACTTTTTACTAGTATCCAATCAAAGTATCCACTACAGTCCTATAGGAGGTCAGTCGCTAGTCCTAATAGCTCAATGGTAATGTCTCTGACTGAAGGCAGCACTGTGTGACGCAGGTTTGAATCTCAGGAGTCACGTGAGTTCCTTCAAGGTTGCAGATAGGCCTTGCTGACTAGTGACTCCCAACTAGCACGAAACCTAGGTGCAGCCAAGGCTTCCTGTGGCCGATTGTCTTCAACCATCTAATATTACTCGTTAATCGTTGAGACCAAAAAAAATGTCTTACACCACATAAAAATACCTATACGCCTTTTACAAGTTATTCTCATTTAATCAATTAGTAAATCTATTCAGAGTTCACTGTGTGTTTATTTGTTGACGTGTTTAGAATAAGAGATTCACTAACATTCCTTTTTGAAGAGCAAAATAACAAAAGTAGTCGATATATATATATGAGACTAATATGACTCAAAATAAATTTGTTCGATAAACTAGAGACTAACGATATCGCGGTCACACAGGTTTTAGTCGCCAAATACAAATAGATTATAACTGTTGATAGAGAAAAAAAGCCAATAACATGCTATGTTCTATGCTATACTGTGTTAAGCTTTTCTAGTACATTCAAGATAATTTTGTGTTTTAAATGTTGAAGTCATCTATTTTTCGTCTGGCTAACATGGAAATCTCACTAACAAACTTTTGATTATCTAAATTATCATGAAAACAAAAATGAATGACGCCTTACTGTCTCTGTCTGTCTGGATTAATGACGCCTTACTCCACCAGATTAGCTTTTTTACTTGATGAAAGTCCTGCAAAGCGGCAGGACCCGACGGAATCATTCCGGAGGTGTTTAAATATGGGGGTGACATACTAGTTTGTAGATTAACTGAGGTACTAGGCAAAGTCTGGGAATCAGAGACAGTACCATCAGACTGGGGTAAGTCACTTATTATACCGATATTCAAGAAGGGAAACAAGTCCTCGTGTGATAATCATAGGGGGATCAGCCTAACGAACATAGTCTCTAAAATCCTAGGCTCAGTAATCATGCATAGACTAAGCAGAACTCGGGAGGAACAGACAAGGGAAAATCAAGCAGGCTTTAGACCAGGTAGAGGGTGCATAGATCATATCTTCACTCTTCGACAGATTCTAGAACATAGACACACTTTTCGGCGTCCAACAATTGTCATATTTCTTGACTTGAAGGCGGCCTTCGACTCCGTGGACCGAAAGGTACTATGGCAATGTCTGACTGTGAAGGGAGTGCCAAGAAAGTACATTGCACTAATCAAGGCACTCTATTCAAACTCACGTAGTCGTGTAAGGGCTTATGGGGAATTGTCATCTGAATTGGTAACAACCAGTGGTGTCCGACAGGGATGTCCACTTTCCCCATTTCTGTTTAACTTCATCATAGATATGCTAATGGAAGTATCCTTAACTGAACGTAGTGACTTAGGAATCGACTTGTTACCAGGGAATAATCTTATGGACTTAGAATATGCAGATGACATAGTCCTGTTAGGGGAGGATGCTGACAAAATGCAGAGTCTTCTGAACACCTTGAGCAGCAATCTTCGTATGTTTGGCATGCGATTCGCCCCTGCAAAATGTAAGATGCTGCTACAGGACTGGACTACGTCAACTCCTAACTTAGTGATAGGGAGTGAAGTGATAGAACATGTTGACCACTTCACCTACTTGGGAAGTTGTATTAGCACCAACGGACTGATTGGCGATGAAATCTCAGCACGGATCCGAAAAGCTCGAGCTGCTTTCGCTGACTTACACCATCTCTGGCGTAGGCGTGACATCCGGTTATCAACCAAGGGACGTGTGTACTGCTCATCAGTTCGCTCCGTCCTTCTCTATGGCTCTGAAACATGGCCAATACGCGTTGAAGACATGAAAAGGTTGACTGCTTTCGATCATAGATGTCTGCGATCTCTGTCTCACGTTAGGTGGTTTCACAAGATAAGTAATGTTGACGTTAGGCGTAGAGTGTTGGGCAAAGAGGGAAAATCAATCGACGAGGTTATAAAGTTACATAGACTAAGATGGCTAGGTCACGTGGTGCGCATGCCTAACCACCGCCTCCCCCGACGGGCATTGTTAGCTGATATAGGTTCAGGTTGGAAAAGAGCCAGTGGTGGCCAAACAAAAACATGGCATCAATCCATGAAATCCTTGACAGTTAAACTGAGTCAGGTAGGGAGATGCAGACTCCCGGGTTGGGGCCCTCGGGACTCTAGGAATCAATGGCTGGAGACAATAGGTGACATGGCTCAAAATCGTTGTCAATGGCGCAGATGTATTCAATCTCTGTAATCTTTCATATTCCTTTCTACCATTACCCATTCTGTTTCACTCTTATATCTGTCAAACTCTATAAATTCTCTTCACTCATCTTCTTGTCTACCTCTGTGCTATTTGGAAGGTGGCAACTCGAACTGCTGCACTTCGGTGCCAAGTTCTATGTTGAATCCAGACAGACAGACATTTGTGATATGGGTGTAGTCAAACTGGTGAAATTCATCTAATACATATTTTATGCTCAAAATTTTCACATACACAGTTGAAAATTAAGTAGTGGGAGGAGCTTTTGTCTGTTTTCGACATAGAACTTTGCATCGATGTGCAGCAGTTCCAGTTGCCGCATTTCACTTAGCACACAAAGCAAGAGAAGAAAGTAGAGACATTCGAAAGAGAGATAATAAACAGAAATATGAGGTAAGAAGAATAGTAACATGGAAGAACATTAGAATTTTATTGGGTATGATAAGTCACAAAGAGTGAATGCATCTGCGCCAGCTATTGACAACCAGGATTTTGAACCATATCACCAGTTGTCTCCAGCCTTCATTGGCTTTTACCATCTCGACGACCCAACTAGTCAGGAAGTGTACACCTCTGAACTTGGCTGGCCTAAACTAACTGTTATGGATTTCATTGACTGATGTGGTCATGTTTTGGTTTGACCACCACGTGCTGGGTCTTTTCCACCCTGATCCTATGTTACCTAACATTGCCCATTGTCGAGGGAGGCGATGGCTAGGCATGAGTAACACACGCCCTGACCGTCTCAGTCATTGTAACTTCACAACCTCGTCGATTGATATCCCCTTCCTAACCTAGCACTCGATGCCTAACCTCAATATTGCTCACCCTATTATACCACCACGTAACACGGGAGATAGAACGCAGGCACCTGTGATCAAAGACAGCCAGCCTTTTCATGCCTCCACTCTCAATGGCAATGTCTCACAGCCATAAAGGAGGACGAAGCGGACTGATGAGCAGTACACCCGCCCTTTGGTCAATAGCCGGATATCACGTCTACGCCAGAGACGGCGTTAGCTGGCATATGCGAGACTAGCCCTCTGTATCCGTACTGAGATTTCATCAGAGATGTGTAAAGTGTTTATACTAGACTAGAGCGTGACAATTGATTGTATTTGAAATAATTACCTCTAAATAATTAAATTTATTATACCGTGTATGTTTTATAATGTCTAAATTACTGACTTCAACATAGTCAATGTCAATGTTAGTGGATTTGTAGAAAGCAGGTATATAACAAAATTCTTTCTCGTCTCACTGTTTTTCAGAAAGGAACTGGCAAATGGACTGCAATCTGCGCTCTTGATCATGGTGTTCCTGTGACACTTATAGGTTAGTGAGTGTATTGAATCATTTTACATCTTTGAAATATTTCTAAGATAATCATCCCTTTATTAGATAAAAACTATTTAAAGGTTTTAATCAGTGTCCAGTAGCTCTATATTCTTATGGTTTTTTAACATCTTAATTTACTTGTCCATGACTTAAACACTGCGTCTGTGGCACAGCGGTAGAGTGCTGGCAGACCACGCAAGTGGTCCGGGGTTCAATCCCCGGCAACAGACGCACTCCTTTGCCTCGTTAAGCCAGTAGTTAAGACTGGTAAAGAGGGATGGTTGGGCATGAGACTACCAACCCATTTTGTAAAGATAATCACCACTGCTACAGAAACTTCAAGCCTCTATCTTGAAGCCCTATGTTCCACTGGGAATCTAAAGGAATAAAATAAGATTTTAGCAGTCATTTGATGACATATCTGTTGTAGGATAAGCTGTTATAGTTGTTACCTTGACGTCGTGGTTGGGCTTGCACATCGCAATGACCCAACAAGCTACACTAGCTGGAACTGTTGTTCCTGCAGGTCCTACCGTGTCAGGAAGGTTGTTAGACTAAAAGCAGTTACTCGCAAAGTGTAAGAATTTTTCACACCATTCTGGGAGGTCTATGGCGCAGATGTATTCAGCTTATGTAATCTTTCATATTCCTTTCTACCATTACCCATTCTGTTTCACTCTTATACTTGTCAAACTCTATTGATTCTCTTCACTCATCTTCTTGTCTACCTTTGTGTGCCAAGTTCTATGTTGAATCCAGACAGACAGGGAGGTCTATGGGTAAAGTCGTACTGCTGGAGAACAGGAGTGTAATAGCAGTGAGGTTTTTCCCTCAGATAACCAGCATGCCAGCCACCTATGCTGTATCTCCACTCTGGAGAGAGGGGGTTAGAAAAGCCTGACCCCGAAAATTGTACATCCCGACTTACCTTGTGGTGGTCCGTAACCGGCGGTAAATTTACTAATACATAACCAATCCAAGAAACCAGTTCATACAGGCCGTGTGTGACCGGCCTCAAGCAGTTGTCCCTTGGGCTCTGTGGTCAAGCAACACTTATCCTCTTTAGATTTCAGATACTCGAAGAATCAGTCAACCTCCGGGAAGTAACAACCGCCCACACATGTCCCAAAGCACACGAAGCCCTCCTGAGCCTGTGTTATAGTTTGACTTTTAAGTAAGATGAGTGCGAATACCCTTACGACTACCACTGACCTACAAAGTGAAGTTACTTGTAACTGAAGCGTTACAAGTTGGCTGACAGCGAATGCATTGTAGCTTCGAACTCACTTGCTTCCCAGTAATTTCAAAACGGGTGTATTTATGTCTCACATAATAATAATAATAATCTTAGTTTACAAGCGAGTACATACACTTCACCTTACTCAGCAATTTATATATATATATATATATATATATATAATTATTGTATACTGCGTTTTTGCTTACCAAACAAGCCTTGTAAGTAAATATTAACTAGTTGATAGTGACGTTATGGGCGTCCACGTTTCTCTAATCATCATAGAGGAAAATTACAAGTTTCATTAATTATATATTTCTCGAGTAACGTTGGAACGAGAAATGAAAACAAAAGGTTGATTATTTGAATCTTTTCATTGGCTAGGGTTACTTTGCTTTGGTTAACTTTGTTATTTTAACCCACAGGGAAGAAAATCTTTCATTCTTTTTTAATGTTTCTGAAATTTCTGTTTTTCTTCACCTATTCATTCTATAAGGACATGAGGTCATATTGTTTAATGTTTAGATATTTGATCTTTGTTGTACGAAATGGTGAAGAAAAAACTATACAGAAGTTGATTTTCCCTAAAAACAGACATTTTTTAACTAAGTAATGAGGAAACAACTGGGGTACTCAAAATGTCTTTGATCTGAATGACTTCTTTTGCCATCTAGACAATATCTTCATCTTTGTCTTATTTTAACATTAAAGTCATCATGTTACTTAATCGGTGGTAGCTAGTAGTAGAATCCAGGATGCACATTTCGTCCTATTTGAAACTCGTCAGTTGTATGTAAATGCATCCCCAGTGAGAGAGTTAGCTACAGTCCTCCCATTGAAATTTGAACCCGGCATCCGTCAGTATACAAACGCCAAAGTGTTATCCACTTGGCTGCGAGAGAGTTATCTTTTTGTGTAATGGTGGTTCCTGTTATTTGGTTGATGGTGGCTATTAATAGAGTCTAGAATATAGATTTTGTCCTATTTAGGGCTCATCAGCTGATATGTTAAAAGTCACCCCTATGAAATGGCGTTTGTTTTTCCTGCGTTTGTAGAGACAACTTCAGTTCGACATCATTTTATGAACATATATGACATTACATTAGTAGGAAGATATATAGGAGGACAATTGATCTAAAGTAATAAATAATAATAATTTTTCCTTCACGTTCCCCAGTGGAACATAGGGCTTCAAGCTAGTGGCTTGAAGTTTCTGTATCATAGTTTATTTTACAGGATGGGGTTGCTAGCCTCATGCCCAACCTTTCCTCTTTACCAGCATTGTTTCTGGCTTAGCGAGGTAAAGGAGTGCATCTGTGGCCAGGAATCGAACCCCGGACCATGTACATGGTCGGCGAGCGTCCTAACCGCTATGCCACCGACGCACTAAAGTAACTGCAAGTAATTATTAAGCTTCATGTCAATCTATTAAGATAAAAGCTGACTAAAGGAAAATGAAAGAACTGTCAGTGAAAGTTAAGAGATAAAAGTGATAATATTAATAGTTGATGAAGTGAGTGGCGGTGGCTCAACGTGAACTTCGAAATGATTGTCCTTTGAGGTAAAGAGATAATTTTTCACAGGTTCATCAATTTAGATAAGTAATTTATAATAAACCTATCTGTCCTTCAATTTTGCCAGTTCGAACCCCGCTGGGTGCGTACTGATGAAGAGGCCCAAACTAGGGTGACGAAACAGCTGTCCAGTACACCCAGGTGGGTTTTCCAATGGTTCTCCAACTGATATCAGCTCATGATGAAATCCTCCATCCAATCTAACAAAATCCCTACAAAATCAATACTTGAAAGTTTGATAAATAACTCGGAATTCATACTAACGGAAATCACTTCATCATCAAATTCATGCAGGCTTGCTTTACTCCTCTGTAGATTGCTTAACTTTGCAGTGGTTTTCATCATATAACATATCTGTTAATGATAAAAAGTTCACTGTTTTATCTATTTTAATAATAAGTGCATTAGGTTAAAGCAAGTTGAAACCTACGACGCTATAGCTAAACTACAGAAAATCTAGTTGTTTTTTTATATTTCTTATTTGGACCAATCTTGCATGTGATGTAGTGTGAATTTCTTGTGAATTTCTTACTGTTTTAAGTTCACTGAATGCTGATGACGCTTTATGCATTCTCCTTCAGTCAGCAATTTTTTTGCCATCAATGTTTAAGAGTTAAGCACCAAATTCCAGTTTGTTGTTCGCATATTGACTAAATGAAAGTATAACTCACATTTTGTTTGATCATATTTAACTTTATTCAGAGTTTACAATCACGAGTTTCAGGCTGAATTAGTAATACAAGCGTAAATTAAAATAGTCATAAGTTTCATTGTAATTAGTATTTTGTATTCCCCCAATGATTGAAAATCAAAACGATATTGTTGTTTTTACCGACGTTTCGCTATTTAATACTACTGCTAATAGCTTTATCAAAGTATTATTAAACCAGAATTTACAAAATCTCAGCTTACTGGATTCGACAAGTATGTGAAATTATAAAAGCGGCATGTGTTTACGTAATGAAATTGCTTATCACATTCGTGTTGATTTTGTCATTTCATGAGGGAGTGGGGTGTTGTAACCATGTCAAATTCTTTTTTAGTCCATCATTCCTATTCAGACAGTTTAGATTCCTTTTGATATGAAGTGCTTCTGATGATATTAGACGTTCTTTGTGATTTCTGAAATGCTTTTTTCTGGATGATTTCAATATTGTCAAAATCAATTTTGTAACCTGATTCTATAGCGTGTAGACGAGTTATGGCTGATGATTTTTCAAGCTTTTCTAGTTCAACTGGATTTCTTGATGGTTGAATAGAGGCGGCTCTACAATGTTCATTTCTTCTGATTTCGATTTCTTTCTGGCGATGTTTGTCGGATGTATATCTCATCAAATTCCAAGTATTTTATTTTATAGACACAATTAGATAGAGAATCTGTGGGGATTTGGTCTCTTAAATGGACAAGGTTGCTTTATAGTGTGTCTGTTTTTTTGAAGAAAACTTTGATGTCGAGCTTATTGATTATTCTCCTGATATCGTGTGACGTCTCTGCTCTGTATGGAATGACAGCAGTTGAGGCCCATGTTTTCAACCATACTTAGTGCCAGTGTTGACTTTGTTGGTGAAGTTCTCTGCGTAGTTATTTTGCTTGAGAGTCTCGGTACAATCAACATGAATGTGATAAGGTATTCTATTATATAAACACACTCTGCTTTTATAATTTTATACACCTATCAAATCCAACAATCTACACCTGGTTTTGTTGTCTTTACCAACTGGCCAACTTGACAATGCAAAACTGACCCCATGCTGAGGAACGACGATTAAGTTGTTATCTATATAAGTTGAGATTCTATAAATTCTGCTCTAACATTACTACTTTGATAAAGCTATTAGCATTAAGTAGCGAAACGTCATTAAAAACAACAATATCGTTTTGTTTTTCATTCGTTGGGAAGTACGAAAAACCTTTATTATAATGAATATCATATACTCAATGCCCAAATTTTTTCAAACTGTTAAAAGGGAACTTGGTTTGAACACATATAGTAATAAGTCTGTTAATTACAAGACTGTACATATTTTCTGTTAAATGTTGACATTAGGTATACTAATCTATAAAATATTTCGTTATAATTATTTAATACAATGTGCATGGTGTCTATAAGGATAACAGATTTTCCCAGACCACGAAAATTGGGTCTTCTCATTGTCAAGTTCTTGTTCACAACTTGGGGACAACATTTCTGACCGTAGAATTTTTAGTGTAACTAGTTTCTAATATACTTGTATCTTAGAAACCGTGTGTACGTTCCTGGCTGTCAGTGTTAATTTACTTGATGTTATCATCAGGCTGGCGTATTAGCGTCCAATTTTTTTTATTCCTTCACGTTCCCCAGTGGAACATAGGACTTCAAGCTAAGAGGCTTGAAGTTTCTGTCGCAGTGGTGATTATCTCTACAGGATGGGATTGCTAGCCTCATGCCCAATCTTTCCTCTTTACCAGCTTCTTATTTCTGGCTTAGCGAAGTAATGGAGTGCGTCTGTGGCCGGCGATCGAACCCTGGACCATGTGCGTGGTCAGCGAGTGTTCTAACCGCTGTGTTACTGACGGACAACGTCTAATCATCCAGTCAAATTTGAGAGTTCTGAGAATTCATTTTTGTCAACTGGCTCAATTTTCTGAAAGCATTACTTGTTAGATCAATAAGAATTATCGCCTATCCTTATCTAATTTTACTGATATGAATGGCAAAATGTACTTATTCATGATGGCTGTGTCATCAGATGTGTATCTGATCTTTTTGAAATTCCCGTTGGATTTTGCCTCATATTTGTTTGTATACTGCTTTCTTTTTTTTCTATAGCTGAGGCTGTATTTTCACGTATATTATCGTCAATGAGATCTGTTCGCTTAGAAGCATCTAGTGTTTTACAGGGACCGAAGGATAAACCATTTAAATGTTCCACTCCTGATGAAGCAAAACAGTTAGTCGACGATATATGGAAGGTGGGCTTTTTTGTTCATTTTGTGTACTAAATTATATTCTAAAGTAGATTAATCAGCTTTACACTTCTGTAACTGAATACATCAGTAGATAAGTTATTGACATTGCAACTGTATATCAAATTTTAACTCACAATAACTGATATCTAAAGAAAAAGGGAATTCGAGGACGTTCAACTTGCTTTCAAGTTGAATGTTTGTAGCCACTTGGAATTGTTTCCGCTAAAAATAATCTTCACAGTAATGAAAGTTTCGAAGGTTTGCTATAAACTAAGGTAGTAATCCACTTGACACTGACTGCTACCACTTCAAACCATCTGTCGCATAGATTAATTGGTGCATAGCTTTTCAATATCTTTTAGATTCAAACGAAAGTACTGACATGCATCAGATTAACCTAACCCACTGAGGGGGTTCAAACCCAGGATCTCCGGTTACAAGGCAAGCTGGCTCGTATACCATTCAGCCACTGGCACCCGATAGAATGACCACTCCATGAATTCTAACTTCTACCAATTCGTCATTTTAACGCGACCACCAACCAATTAGGTCTCAGTGGCTGAATGGTATACGAACTCGCCTTGTAACTGGAAGGTGCTGAGTTCGAAGCCAGGTGGTGGGTGCATAATGCCGATGATTCCCAAACTAGGACGACGGAAACAGCTGGCTGTCCAGTACTCTTTGCTTATTTTCAATGGTTCTCTATCTGATGTCAATCCGTGGTCAAACTCGAGAAACCAATCTAATCCTTACAAATCAACTCTTGAAAATTAAGGGATAATTAGTTCTGTCCAAACCTGAAAACGAGGCTTACCCGATTTATTAAATGACATTTAATTCAGCAATGATGCAAATCAATAACCACTTACGTCAAAGATTGTCAGGAGAGATGATACATGAAGAGTTCGGATAAGTTCAATTCATATTGAAGATCACACAGATGTTCTCTCAAAAAGACAATGAAAGCATCCGAATTAAATCACCTATCTAATTGTAAGAACGAAATCATATCAAAAGCAAGCATTTATTTGAACTACTAATCTTCTCCATTATTCTAAGTGTATTCAGTTGATTGCTTACAATTTCAATTACTAAAACCAGAGATAAACAAATATGTAGACTTCTTCGTTGAAAATTTGTGCCAAATAAACAATCATGTGAATTTTCTTTGTTACATAGTTGTTCTAGAATAATTTCAGTCTTTACAATTTATCAATCTAGTAGAAAATTAAGCTGTTCTGTTCTATATGTGTTATTCATTTATTTTACTGCCACATGATAAAAAGTAAATCAGCCTACAACTACACTATATAACTGGTCATTACTCACTCTTTGAGTTGTAAACAACGCCTACATACTTTGCATTGCAGTTTATTATTGATTATTACAGCTTATAGTTTTTCTGATTGTTTCTAGAAAATAAACAGAACTTCTGTGTGTATAGGTTGTTTTCCTAACCAATTAGTAACTGGCCTTTTCTGCAGATGTTTTACTAGAAAGGTGTAAAAATCGCACTTAGTATCTTATTAAAATATGCGTTGGTGGCGCCGAGGTAGAATGCTCGCCAGCAGCAGTTGCGCCACAGGTGGTCTGGGGTTCGCGATCCCCAACCGATGCATTCCAAAATCTCGCTTAGATGGTAGGTAATAAGTCAGGCAAATAGGAAAGGTTGAACGTGAGACTAGCACTCCCACTCTGTAAAAATAAACACCACTGCTACCGAAACTTCAAAACTCTAGCTTGAAGCCCTGTGTTCCACCGGGAGCGCAAAGGAATAAAGCCAGAAATAATAATCTTACTAAAACAAAAGAATTTTAAAAAAAAACTCAGTTTGAAAGACAGTGACGATAAATATCTCAGACGTGGCCTCATACACAGTAATGTATTGAGATTTCATGTTTCTCAGCGAGCTTTCATCTTTTTTTATTGACTCTCTTTTTTCCCCTATTCTTTCAGGCATTGTATGCATCTAAAATAGTTTCCTATGCTCAGGGATTTATGCTGTTGCAACATGCTCATCAAACTTTTGGTTGGAAACTGGATCTTGGTGCAATTGCACTTATGTGGCGTGGTGGATGTATAATACGCAGGTTGGTTTATTTCGATTCGATTGATAATTTTGTCCACTGTAAACTGTCAACACTTTAGTCTAGTGAATTTGAGTTGATCATTGACTAATGTAAAGGGAAATAAAAAGTTAGCATAAAAATAATTTATAAACAGCTTTTTCCACAGGCAAACGAGTGAAAAGTGAGTTCTTTTTATTAACTTCTCTAAACACAACACGCATGCTAAAAAAAGTCAGTTGAACCGTATATAGGAAATAGTTATATGTCTTTGCAATACATATTCCACGCTTTTACCCTCATAATTATGCGAGACTTTATCGCAGTCTAATTGATCAACATGACGCATCAGATAAACGTAAAACTGCATCACCAGTATCATTTTCCTGATTCTTTAGGGACAGGTTATTTTCTTACTTGGTGAATTTCTATTCTATCAGTCTTAGTGAATAAGCAACCTCGATGGTGTTTATTAGGGTAAAACTAAGTCTTTTGAGGTAGTACTATCGTTACAATGGAACAGGACACTAAATTGTTGGGCATATATATAAGGTGAAGAGTTATAGACCTCTTTATTCCATAACATTCAAGTTAAGCCAATTGAGATAGTTAGTTATTTCTTATTAGAGGCCTCATTATCACCAGTAAGCGATATTTTATTACTGTTATGCCAAACAAATCATTCATTTGACTGACTGACTGGTTTTAACTTGGAACTTTGCATCGATGTGCAGCAGTTCGAGTTGCCACACTGCATGTACCACACAAAGCAAGAGAAGAGAGTAATGGGAGATTCAAACGGGAGACAATAAACAGAAATTTGACGGAAAAAGAGTAGTAATATGGAAAAACAATAGAGTTCTATTGGAGATATTAAATCACAAAGAGTGAATGCACCTGTACCAGCCATTGAGAACGATTTTGAGACATATCGCCTATTGTCTCCAGCATTCACTGGTTTTTATCATCCCGAGGACTCAAACCTGTCAGGAAGTGTACACCTCCCGACGTGGCTGGCTTAAACTGAATGTTGTGGATTTCATTGACTGATGAGACCATGTTTTGGTTCGACCGCTACCTCCTAGCTTCTTCCCAACCTGATCCATCATATGCCGGCTAATATTACCCTTTTTCGATGAAGGCGATGGCTAGGCGTGCATGCGTAACACATGTCCTAACCATCTCAATTGGTGTAACTTCGCAACCTCATCGATTGACTTTCCCTCCCTCCTTACTTAGCACTCGACTGATGCCTCACCTCAATATTGCTCACCTTATTATACCACTTAAAACAGGAGGTAGAACGCAGACATTTATTATTAAAGACAGCTAACCTTTTCGTATTTCCCACTTTCAATGGCGATATCTCACAGTCATAAAGGAGGATGGGGCGAAGTGCTGAGCGCTGAACAGTACACACACCCTTTGGTCGACGGCCAGTCGGATATTACGTCTACTTAGGAGATGGCGTAAGTTGGTGTGTATCAAACGAGCCCTCTATATCCGTGCTGAGATTTCGTCAACGGTCAACCTGCTGAAGTTGACTGATGTCAATCCCTAAATAAGTAAAGTGGTCAACATGCTCTACCGCTTTAAGCTAGGAGTAGTCGACGTAGTACAGTCCTGTAGCATCATCTTACATTTGACAAGGGTAGCGAATCGCATGCCAAATTTTCGAAAATTGCTGCTAAAGGTATTCAGAACACTTTGCGCTTTGTCAGCGTCATCACTTAGGAGGACTGTATCATATGGATATTCTGAGACAGCGAGGTTATTGCCTGGTAACAGGTCGATCCCTGGGACGCTGAAGTCAGGGTAAAGTCCATTAGTACCAATATCCATGATGAAATTAAACAGAAATCATTCATTTGCGTAGAAATGACAATCGTTTCTTAATTTTACCTACTGTCGCAGTATTTCTGACTTTCGGCGTTTTTTTATTGTTGATAAAACCACACTCTTTTAAACGGAGCGCCAAATACTTCATCTAAACTGCCAACAGAAACCGCCACGTAACGTAGTAAAAAAGCCTCTACAAATTTCCACCTATTCTTTATACTACTTTTATGATTAAATACTAATATTAGAATGTATTCTTTGACTTTGTAGCCAATTTCTTGGAAATATAAAAGAAGCCTATGAACGCAATCCTAATCTTAGTAATTTACTTCTAGACCCATTCTTCAAACAAATTATCGATGAATGTCAAGTAAGTTGTGCAGAAAAATGTTACCATATTTTAACCAACAAAAGAAAATCACGAGTTGTGTGTATTTACCGGCGCATGTGAACACTGAAAGAAAAATCCGTGCTTTGCAAAAGATGTTTTGCGTATAAACTGTCATAAGTTACTCAACATTTTTATGTAGCACATCACTACTGCATTTAATGAGTCATCATCTATCAGACCGACCGGATGTTACGTAACAGTATCCTCCAACAAGCACATTGTAATTAAACATGACGTGATTTACAGGTGTTTAGAGGTAAACGTGTTAAATCACGTCCATCATAATATAATAATAAGCTTTGAGTATACAAAAGCTACTTATTTCTTTTATTAAACGTTTTATACTCAGTTTTGATTGACATTAAAGGTTAAATATAGCTGTAGAAAATACTTTTGAGTCCTGAATAGGTACATACTTTAAAAAAGTGGATGATATTGTAATCCTCATAAGAACCAGTGACCTCCTTCACCAAAGATACTTGTGTGTAAAAGACTAATGGATCCATCCATAAGATGTATCATGCTTACGTTACTGCAAAAGTAAGTTATTATTGGTGGGCAAACTGTAATTAAAAATAAAATTAAAAAGACAAACTAAGAAATGCCACTGACCATTCATAATTAAAGACACCTACATTTTAGAAGGATTCTAAAAGTCTTCAGAGTAAATTGAATTAATCTGGGACTTCTGCCTCACTCTCTTTGACTAAATCACGAGAAAAACAAGTCTTACAGTTCAATTCACAAACTTCTTAATTGTTTATTTTTCTTTACCGCTACTTCCATGTGAAAAATACTCAAATTGGAAAAATAGTTTAATGTCATCTTAGTTTTTCATTACTATTATAAGGAACATTCAAGTATTGGTTTACAGGGATTTGGTTTATTGGTTACAGGATTTCATCATGAGCTGACATTGGTTAGAGAAACATTGGAAAACCATGGAGTACTGGACAGTTGTTTCGCCCTAGTTTGGGACTCTTCATCAGTACGCGCCCACCGCCAGGGTTCGAACCTAGGACCTTCTGGTTACAAGGCTAGTGAGCTCGTAGACCATTAAGCCACTGGGACTTGATCCAATGACCCATGAATTCTAACTTCTGCTAATTCATGATATAGCGCAACCACTAGCCAATTTCGGTTTCTTCACTAAGTAATGCAATTTAAAAGTACTTTGTTTGAAAATTTATTAAAAGTACAAAGCATAAACATCACAATATATTCTCCAATGTTAATTTGTTTTCAGAATGGATGGCGTCAAGTTGTTTCTCATGCAGTACTTAATGGAATTCCTACACCGGCATTTAGTTCTGCATTAACATTTTACGATGGAATAATATGTCCTAGTCTACCTGCTAATTTATTACAAGTAAGCCTGTTTTGCAGTATTCACAGTAGACATCACATATAATCATTCATGTGTTTCTGTCGTATTTTCGCTGAATTAACTTACACTGTCATTGTTGTGTGTGCGTTTTTTTTCTCATGTTCTAGGCTCAACGTGATTACTTTGGTGCTCATCAATTTGAGAAGATAGATAATCCAGGCGTTTTTGTTCACGCTGATTGGACTGGTCATGGAGGTTCTGTAGCTTCTTCTACATATCAAGTTTAATTTCTGTACTTTGTAGATGACTTTTTTCTTCCTTTCTTTCTTTCTCGTAACTTTATCATATAAATGGAAAGTGGGGATACTTCTTTTAAATATATATATCAGTTTAGTGAATATTTGTAAAATTGCTTTTACATGCGCTAGTATTATGTCAAAAAGTAATTTTTTTCAATGATATGTTTAATAAGAAAAGGTTTATTTTGTACATCTTTCTTTTTGTGATATTTCTAACAAAATAGAACAGTTAAGTATAGAAAGTAGCATTTCATTCCATTTCATCTCCGGAACCAAATGCTTCACGTTGTTCACTATCTTCTCCACTGACGCCAGCAGTTCTCAAACGATCATTCGCTGAAGTGGTGCCTAGTTTTGAAGATGCGGGCTTTGCATTCTTTCCTTCGCATGCAACAATTTTTATCTGATAATCGGGTAAGAAAAAACATTGGGAAAATTAATTAGCAGAAAGTTTAGGTATCATGAGGTGTTTACTAAGAAAAATGTACTCTTCACTTATATAAAGTAAACTAGTAAGAAATGCAGATGAATTACACGTATGAAATGAAGACTTTATACATATCATAGGACTTACTTTATCAACAGTCATAATAGCAGATGAGTCCTTTATTTCTACATCGTTCATTACTAGTGTCCATACATTATCACAGTTTCTGTAGGTATTCAAATGACCGCGAAGAGACAGACGATTCTTAACACGTTTCGCCAAAGCATTACTAATACACTGGTCAAATTTTTTCATCACCTGCAATAATTACGCATATATGTTTGTAATTTTTAGAAAGGATACTTACTTTACTATCCATACCAGGTTGTAGTAGGTGATGCGCCAACATCTCATCTAACGCCTCTCTGAGAGTAGTCCCCAGTGTAGTACTTCTGTACATTTCATGATACGTCATTTTGATCAGGAGGAATTCTAAATGATGAAAACCGTAAGGTTTAGATAGAAACTACACTGCGTAACGAAGAGTCTTTCTTAGTAAATAAACGCTCGAAATTTAATTGAAAGGTGGTGGCAATAACGTCCATCTATGCATTTAACTTGTTTACGTTCTAACAAAATCACTTTACGGTATAAAACACATATTTGAATAATGATCAATAAAAATCTTAACTTAGGGAGACATAACTTTTACGGGGATGGAACTTGGGCACTGTGATTAAGACGTACACCTCAAGTAGAAAAATTACCCAACACTAACACTAGAGATTATTACGAAGAATGAACCAAAGAGTGAGAAGTACTAAAGATGTATGGGCAAAGGTTGTAAGTTAACTCAGTACCTTCATATGAATATGAACGAGGAATTTAATGCATAAGTAATACTTTTCTAAGTAAGATATTCTCTTGTAGAACTGTCGTAATTCTCTGGAAACACTAAGGCCTTTTATATGATGTATTTTCCGTCTAATGAGGCATTCAGGGGAAACAGTCAACTATCTTGTTTAGTAACTAATGTCTGCATATTAATTTTATGCGTAACGCTATTGCTATACTACTGACTAGTATGTGTCAGAACTCATTTTAAAGTAAAAACAGCTACATGTTTTGAATGTGAGAACATAATGCTACTGTCCATAGAAATAGAACCATTCCAACTTCAATAATCAAAAAGAGCAGAAAACCAAAGTAAGCAGGGAAGGTTACAATAAATACTAAAATAAAGAATTCAATGTTATAATGTGATGTGGGCGGGATGGTGAGTACATATACACTTCTGCAAAGTGTTATGAAGCCTTTGTGATCGTAAGTATTTAGCACAAAGCTAAAATTTGCATTGAAAATGAAGGTGGTGATACATTTGCATATTCTCCAGGGTATGAAGGGAGAGCCATTTCGGTGGTTAAAAACTTGACTCCTAATTAACTCTATTCACCATCAGCTTCAACCTTAATAAGAGTAGTGATATGGATCCCGAGTACTGCTATTTCATTAGTAGATAATTCATAAAGAAGGTGAGATTATGATAGTGGCAAATGGATGGCGTCTACGTCGCTGAGGGCGTGTTAACTTAGTGTAG